ATCCACAAAAGTTGGATCAAATGTTTGGCATACAATGTGACTGGGGATAAAAGACCTAAAGGGTCGTATATTTTTGCTATCTCGGAAAGAATAACTCGCTTCGTACATAAATTGGATGTTATTACTTGTACATTGAAGTTAAAAGAATCCGATCCAGGGTTCCACTGGAGACCGAGTACCTTCACCTGCTTATCCTTCTCCATTTCGGCAAAAGCGATTACATCGGGCCGCTCACCATGAGATTCTGTCGGTAAAACAGTTGAGAGTAGCGCTGGAGAATTGCTATGCCACTTGCGTAATTCGAAACCAGCCGTCTTACAAATATCAATAAGCTCCTGCTGCAGCGCTAAAGCATTAGGGATCGTAGACGCTCCCGATGTGACGTCGTCAACGAAAACATCGTTTAACAAAACAGGAGAAGCAAGTTTGAAACGCTCGGCCTCATCACAAGCCAATTGTTGGACAGTTCTCAAAGCGAGATATGGGGAACAATTCACACCGAAGGTGACCGTGCGAAGACGATAGTCACGAACGGGTTCTTCGGGTGACTGTCGCCATAAAATACGTTGAAAGTCCCTGTCTTCCTCTCGGACCAGGATGTTTCTGAACATTTGTTTAATATCAGCAGTGAATGCTATTGCGTGAACTCGGAATTTTAAAATAACATTACCTATGTCCAAGTGAAGCTTGGGACCAGTCAGTAAAGTGTCATTGAGTGAGTAGCCACTAGTAGTCTTACACCCGGCGTCGAAAACTACGCGAGTGCGAGTCGTCACGCTAGACTCCTTGACTACGCAGTGGTGTGGAATATAATAATGTTTCCCTAGAAGCGCCTCGCCCTCAACGGGTTCCAAATGATTCATGTCAATGTATTCCTGAAGACACGCGTGATAGTCAGCTTTGAGCTTCGGACTACGTTCGAGTCTATATTCGAGTTTACGAAACCGCGCTAATGCAATTTGTCGAGATTCTCCAAGAGAGGGAGCCTCCGATTTAAAGGGCAGGGCAACCACATATCGCCCAGTCTCATCGCGAGTATGCGTCTTTTGAAAAAAGGATTCGCATAATTCCTCATCAGGAGTGTAACTCCGTTTTTCAGGAAGGGACTCTAACTCCCAAAATCTCTGAAGGTTGTAATTGTCGAATGAACTAAAACATACTTTAATATTCGACGGAGAGTGTTCAACATCGAGCTTACCTAACAATAAATAACCGAAAATGCTATTTACCGCCATCGGAGTTCCAGGCGCGCCCGTAATAACGTCGCCTAAAAGAACACAGGGTAGTATATCCGCACCTAATAACATTTCAACTGGCGGCGGGGTATGGAAAGTAGGATCCGCTAAGTTAAGTGTTTGTATATGAGACCAGCCTTTATACGGTAACTGTACACTTGGCATTTGTGAAATTAATTTATCTAAAATTAAAACATTAATTGGTAATAAGGGTTGTTGTTTACCCTTAGGCGCAATATTACAAGAAACAAAACCCCTACAACGCGTCGCCTCAGTATCGCCGATTCCGAAAACTGCAATGTCTTGTTTACGTTTTATCATTCCCAACCGCTGCGCGCAACTATCAGTCATAAAACTAGCTTGACTGCCAGTATCTATAATACAGCGAACGGTTGAAAGTTTCGCCTCACCAACGTATACATCGATTAGCGCCGTAGACAATAGCACCGTAGTCGTACGAACTAACGGCGCATTGGAAGCGCAACAATTGTGAACAGCGTTATCAACGTTGGAAGCTAAAGGCGATGAGTCATGAGAGGCAGCGATGACCGGTGTGTCACACTGCACCGTAGGTGGAAGCGAGACAACATTATTTGCAGTTATTTTACTAATGAACGGCGACTGATTTAACTGGTTAGAAAAATGAATAAGACTATGATGTCGTTTGTGACACGTACGACAAACAAAACTTGAATTGCACTGATTAACATCATGTCCAAAATGCAAACAATTATAACAAATATTTTTATTTCGTACTAAAGCAAATCTATCTTGTGGGGATAAGTTTAAAAACTGCGTACATTTTGTCAACGTATGTTGAGCATTACAACATAAACAACTCTTAAAACCCTGTTCATTAGATCGATTATTGATTGACGGATTCGAAACTGATTTGATGTTAGCAGCTAACGAACGGAATGAACGATGCGCATGCGGCGCCTGCGTCGGTGACGGTTTGTCGTTAGGATTCGAACGGCTGCGCGGATTGGCAAAATTATTCGACTGCCCACAAGTGGAATTAATAATTTCGTCCGCCGATATTTCTCGCTGTAGGAAAGAAATCAATGTGTTAACATTAGGAATGTCGGATGAATTCGTTAATGAACGTTCATAGTTTTTTCGAATGTGCATAGGTATTTTACGTAATAAAATACTAAGTAACAAAAAACTCCAATCTTTCACGGGAAAGTGCATAATTTCCAATGCCTTGATATTTTCTTGGTAAACGTTTAATAAATTACGTATACTATTTGTTGATTTATCAGTGCACGTTTCAATATCGAGAATTTTGTCGAGATGCTTAGTGGCAATAACCCTTCTATTCTCATACCGCGATATCAATATTTCCAAGGCTACTGAATAGTTCTCGTCCGTGATAGGAATCGACTTTATTAAATTGTGCGGTTCCTTATGTACCGTGAGTAACAAATATCTAAATTTTTCCGCATCTGTATAGGCATTGTTCAGGTGGACTAAAGAACGAAATAAATCAAAATATGATGGCCAATCGGTAGGGTCACCATAGAAATTAGGCAAAGGCAAGGTAGGTAAATTTTTGCTATGAACTTGTGGTTGAATTAACGGTGATAATAACGGACGACTCATGCGTCGCTGCTCCTCATCCATCATCTTTAAATTATTTAAATGCGTAATAATGGCGTAGTAAAGATCGTTAAAATCGTTACGAATCTTAATCTGTTCCTCCTTGTTAAATGTTTTTTAATTTCATGTAGGTTTTTTCAATTTTGGACTGTATTTTATTAAATTTACGTTGATGAGAATTTAAATCTGTAGTTCGCGAGCGAAATTGTTGAACATCTGTCGCTGCGAACTGGAGAGTGCGTTTTAAATCATCAAGGATGAGTTCCCTTTCGAACAAATCTTGTTCACACGGCGATTCTTCGACAGACATTTTGCGTAACAAAGATGGCTGATTCGAATTTGTCGTATTTGAAAATAAGTTGTAGAAAGTACGTAATACTGTAAAACAACACAATTGGAAGATATCAATCCGGCTCGAAGGACCAAAGAAATTTATGTATGATAAAAGCCGGGGTTCGGCGACTTACCGCAAACGCTCCTTACACCGCCACGGGTACCTAGGGATAGGCTTCAGAACGGGGTTCGTCAACGCTCTTGGGAAACTATTGCCGGCAATGTATCGCACATAGGAGTCCACAGGTCAGAAGGTTCACGATATCTTCCAGAGAAAATGGGTACTCTCACTTGATGTAACGGAAATTCGTTTAGAGCTGTTGATAGCTGCTTACACGTCGGGGACTCGAAGTGAACTACTCGCACATTGGTGCCGGCGTCGGCCGTAAAGTCGTACCAACACACAAGGCACAGTGGTAGGCTCAGAACGAAAATACGGTTTGTCACCTACCCCATACATAAATAAAAAAAAAGAAAAAAATACAATCTTCCAATATGTGTTGCTTTATTAAAAAATCTGTTACGCTACGGAACATTATGTTTCTAACTTTATCAAGCAGTAGGCTGAATGGACGTTGTTCTCTTTGCCTTCCCGGCAAGAGAAAACAAACTTGAGAAAAGACTAATGTCACTCCACTTCACCACCAAAATTTTTACGTAAAACATATAATAAATCTAAATATTTAAATTGATAATCCATTGGATTGTCGGTTGTTTTTGATGATGAAACATTTTGCATCATTCGTACAAAATGGCGAAGGCCGTGACCCAAGCTTGATTTGTTTATAAAACGCGAAAAGCGTTTTTTTTACTTGGATTTTTTATTTGGATCTCTTATTCCAATTTCGACATTTCCCGTGATGTGGAGGTGAACCCACGGGATGTAACAACGGTCATCCCTTACATACTTGCAACACCAGACATATTTAACTCCAAAGATGCAACGAGGTCGGTAATTTTCTAAATTTATAATTGTGTATCGGCCCCCCATATTAAAGGTAACATTTTCACTTACATCTTAGTCTTAGTTTCAAAATTTAGCAGTAACCCTTTTGGATTACTGGTCCATCCATTTAAATAAATTGACAACCCAAAATGAATATGGATTTGCACTAAGCTCCCCTTGCGATTAATTGTTCATTGCTCTCCCGGCTAATAATATGGTTCAGTCCAGGCGCCCGAATATTCTTTTTTAATTGATTTATCGGCCTGTCCATTTAAAAAATTAATTTTTTAATATTACATTTGACACTAGTTCATATATTTTTTTCTATTACAAAATGTTACTCAGTTTAAGTGCTTAAATTGTTTATTATTAATAAAATAATAAATTGATATTATTTTCATTTTATTATAATACAATATACCTACTCAATAATTTCATAAGTATTCTGACTAAATCTTTAGTACCGTCAAATTGACCGCTGCGGTCTTTGAAGGTATAGTATGAAGCCCAGCCCTTCTAGTGTTAAACAATTAGTTTTTAAATGAGTTTTAGAAAATGTTCCCAGGCATTCTTTTATCCATTAATGCTCCATTGTAGGTGAAAAGTATGCAATACAAATGAAGAGTCCAATAAGAGCGCTAACATTTTTTGGGATAAAAAGTATCCTGTGCCTCAATCTAGGTAACAAACTATATGTATATATGTGTGCCAAATTACATCCAAATCCGTTCGGCCGTTTTTCTGCGCTTGTGTACCAAACATACATCAAGAACACCAATAAAATTATTATTCTGAGGATACCATGGTCATAGACATCATTTACATTCTGATGAATTTCTCTACCATAATTTAGTTGCTTAAAATTTTACTTTTCAAAAAGTTACCTTGTATTTGAAATGACAGCAGCTTTGGGTAACCCAGTAGTGCCAGATGTGTAAATGTATAGGAGTTTTCCCCGGAATCCATCTGCGTTAGCAAGAGTCCATGGCGCAGGAAGAGTGGCCTCCAGCAAAGAAGTGAGATCTGGAACTGCATCTCCAGAAGACTCTTTGGGGTTTGAAGGATTTAGTGGGCGCTGGGTGAATTTGAACAACTTTAAGGAGGGACTCAGCTGGCTTGAGATATCCTGGACAGCTGAAATCAATGGTGAAGATGTATTTGGATGCCAACAGTAAGATAAACTAAAATACCTAAAGATAATTCTGGTAAAGTTATGTGACAAAATTATTTATTTTTGTATAAATTTAAATTAAATACACAGAAGTTAAATTACAATTTTAACCACATAACTGGAATAATATGTTACATGTTCATGAGATTAAACCCAATATTAATTGTAAATAACTAATTAAGACATGCCTCCTACCACTATGTTCTAAATATTTGATGTCAATACACAAAATTCATAAGCTATTATACAATTCAATGATATTATAATAATTCAATATAAATAAAAAATTATGTATTCAAAAGATTGCACCAAATTAATGAGTTCATTATTGACAATACAAGGTTTGTATAAAAATAAATAAAAATACTTTTTTTTAAATCTCAAAATATGGAATGCGGTTTCTGAATGAGACAGAAGACTGTGAGAGATCTTCAATATATTGACAAAACATTGATAGTAGATATAAATAGTTAAACCAGTCTTTCAGGAATTTCAATTATATACATGAAAAAAATTGCAGTATCAAGTTGGTCGGGTTAGCAAGTGAATTATAATATAAGTCTAGAAGAAACATTAATATTATGCATATTCATAAACTTAATATAAAAATATTTCATAATAAATATTTTCACTTCAAAATGCTCACTGAATTGATGAAAAACATAAAGATGTACTTATTTACATTTTTATATATTTTGTTGAACATTATAAGTTTTTTTATTATTATTTTAATATAATTAATAATGGATGGTCTATGTTTTCACAATTTACCTGATTGTAAGTCTTCAGAGTAGATTAGGATGTTACATTTGGCTACATTAATTGAGTGTAACAATGCATTTCCCCTTTGATTAGTGTTGATGAGTGGTGTGATGGCACCTAGTCGAGCATTACCCATCCACATGGCTGGTAATTGAGGACAATTGGTAACAAATATACCCACTATGTCACCTTTTTTGACACCTTGGGCTTTCATTATGGCTGTCATTCTCAAACTGAAGTCTTCAACCTAAAACACATGTACATATACTTGATTTTTTTAAACATTTACTCTAAGTTGAATAATAAATGTTTGTATCAAAAATCAAAACAAGCATTCGAGTAACTATCAACATCAGATATATTTAAATTCATATAGGTAATTCTAGTAACCATCACAATTTCATCATCTTCGACCCATGCTCGTCTACTGCTGGACATAGGTCTCCCCTAATGCACACCACTGCTCCACATTTTCTGCCACTCTCATCCAGCCCACTATAGCCAGCCTTTGAATGTCATCATCCCATCTTGTCTCAGGGCAACCCACACTACATTTACATCACAATTTATTTATAGTAAATAAAAACATATAAAACTATACACATACCTCTTTGAAAGTCCATACTTCATCTTGAAACATAAAACATGCTTTATCTGGATGTCTTTGCACAACATCATGGAAAATATCAGGTAAAGTCCAATCTCTTTTGGAAAATTTACGGGCAATCCATAATATCTGAATGTAGGATATCAATGCCCTAAAAACAATAGTAAGACTTATTGAAAATTAGTAAAAAAGATTTTGATGAATCCCTCAACACTGGAAATATTTTTACTATTCACAAAACTTATGATTAAATAACATAAACAAACAGAAAGTAAAAAACCAATGATGTCATTGAATCTCAATAATGTTTTTTTAATATTATCCAATCCACCATGGGATGGTTAAGATAGTTTCTAAATATATGATCTAATCACAACATATAGTATAAGACATTCTTCCTAGATTTTATACTCTAGCCAAAACAGACTCTCTATGTCAAACACAAACAAAATGAAATAGATATTTGCATACAAATTTATGCAATGTATCACAAATTTTACAATATTTACTGTGTGACCGTTAGTATTGTAAAATTTGTGTCATATATTAAGAAAAGCTGACGTGCCAATTATATTATAGCTAACCTCAGATCTCTCGGAGAAGTCTTGAGGGCTACATAACACCATCTCGGATGGAACACTAAACCATATAGCACAGCAAGTAATAGAGAAACTGTAAAGGTAGTAAGAAATCCATGGGAAAGCCAAACTGCGGCAGACACCGCTATAATCGTAGCAACTGCTAGTATCATCGCAACCACCTTGCGTCGCGAGAGGCGCTTAACTGAACAACGTCGACCCACTGTGGTTTTGTAGGCACTAAAATTTCCACTGAATTTATGTCAATAATGACTGTCTGTAAGAAATAACGGGAAAAGAGCGAAATCTAAGCAATCTAAGCACAATGGACTGTAGACCTCACAGAAACCCTCGAAAACTTGTCAAAAGCTGGATTTTGACTTATTCAAATTGACAGTGACAGTAGCTGATTGACATTGACATTAGGTCAGTAGGTAGAGATGAGATGTGTAATTCCAATCGTGATAGTTTGTGAATTACACTCGGCGTCAAAAAAATCGCACCTTATAAAAACCTTCTTCAAAAATTCTTTAACTTTAAAGAATAGTGTTGTCATTAGAAAGGTAACAAAAGGAGGATCAAAAAACCATTAAATTTTACTTTTTATTAAATTAAAATTATACAAACAACATTAAAATTAAGAAAATAATAAAAATCCTTAATTAAGTCCTAATTAACAACAGATAATTTACAAAGAAAAATGTACAAAAACTATCTTAAAATTAACTTGAAATCTAGTGTTACCTCCCCTAGCCATGATAAGAGCTTTCATACGATCCCTCATGGACCTGACCAACTTCAGGAGGTCTTCTTGAGGGATAAGCCCCCATTCTTTAATCACCGCGTCTTGGAGCTCCTGTAGAGTCGAAGCAGCTGGATCCCGAGATCGAACCTTGCGTTTAAGATGATCCCAGAGGTGCTCTATCGGCTCTCGCTGGCCACTGCATCACAGAGATTTGGGACCTCTGTAAGAAGTCACTCACGATAGCTGCAGTGTGAGCGCGGGCGTTGTCGTGCATTAATGTGAACCCCTCGCCAAAAGATTCGGCAAAGGATACCACATGCACTTCCAGGATCTCTGTGACATAGCGGCGAGCAGTCAGCGACCCCTGTCCGCGAGTACTTCCAGTCCGGGAGACGCAGACAAAGTCGGCAGCCGTCATACCGCCCCAGAACATGCAGGATCCACCCCCATATTCCACCGTATCCTGGATGCAGGCTTCAGCAAAACGTTCACCTTGCCTCCGGTATACTCTTGTCCGTTGATCATTGCAGAAAAAACACACTCGCGCCTCGTCTGAGAAGAGAACAGCTCTCCACTGCTCAAGGGACCAATCGACGTGGTCACGAGCAAACTGTAAGCGGGCTCACCGATGCGCTGCTGTAAATTTCGGACTCCTTCTAACCATAGAGACGCTCACGGTGCGTCTACAAGCTGCCTTAAGCTGCTGTAGCAACTCAACAGCGTTAGAGAAACTATTTCTCAAAAAGTTCGACAGAATAAACCGGTCGTCTCTTTCTGAAGTGCAGCGACGCCTACCGCACCCATGTCTCCGGATATAGCCACCAGTCTCTAATCTCTCTGCGAACTGAAAAACGGCTTAGGTTTAGTTGCCGGGCAACATCACAACTGCCGCATCCCTGATTGCAGTAGTGTGCAACTACTTGAGCGGCTTCATCAGCTGTGGTATCCATCTTCGAGATGATTTTACTTCAGTAAAATCTGTGCGTGTGTTCACTTCAACGGTTGAATAGCGAATGACCCACATTACACTGATTCTTCATCTCGCGCGTCGCCGGCGTCGAAGGCGCCGCGGCGTGCGGGGAAACTGTTCTGGGCGGTTGCCCACTTCAGACGTCTCGGGTGCGCGTCTCGTTGACGAACGAGACGGTCATTGAGGTAGCAACCCCCTCCGCTTCTTCATACGTCGCCCTCGGCTCGGTCAAGCCCATCGGGTGAAACCCATGAGGGAGGCCCAGTGAACGATCTGCAAGCGGGTGGGTGTAGTGTCTTGTCCGCGGGTAGGTGCGAGATTCGGTTTTTCGGCCCGCCCGAAAATTTTAACAAAGTCCGTGAGCAGGTCCGAGATATGTAGCAGCAGGCGGGTTGTCGCTTCTTGGGCGGGCGGTGGCGGGTCTTGGGCCGTGGTGGTGTCGTCACTGGACAGGGCGTCGAGGGGAACGTCCGTCGTCTGATAGTAGACCGGAGTCCATGAGCCGACAAGTCATCGCCGCGTCCAATTCATATTGGACTCGTAGCGATCCCTCGTGGCTTATTCTGGCCGCGAAGAGGGCCTTGGCTTGGGCCAAGCTGGGTAGTGGCGGTGTCCAATACTTTTCCATTGCTGCGCGATGGGGGCTACGTCTGCGCGATCCTTGGCCGAGCTGCGCCTTACGCCGCATTCAAGGCCTGTGGCTCGGAGCGGGGCAGTCGACGCTGGCACTGGGTGGCACCAGGCAGTCTCACGGAGGCAGAAACTTACAGTTTATGTTCGGAGAGCTTGCGAGGTGCGTAGGATCCGTGCGCGGCGGCGTAGTGCGGTCCTGACAATCCTGGGGTCAATGTGGGACCCCGTGTGGTTTTATACCCACAGAAGGAAGCGCAACTAGCGACTCTCACGGTAGCAAAATTTGCATCGAATTTTTGTGACAATTTATTTGTTACACTAGGTTTTATTTGATAATGAAAAAAAAGTAATGTTTTTTATTAAGTCCAATAAGAGTAACCTTTAAGACAAAATTATTATTAATGTGACTAAATGTGCATATTAAGAGTTAATGACATTTGAAAGTGATTTTCTAAGAGGTACGATTTTTTTGACACCGAGTGTATATCGTTACTATCTGGGCTGGAACGCGAGTATCTATTTTTTTTATATAATGGGAAACGCCATTACAGGCATTTCAAAGGTACAAGATCATTAATCTAGTAAGTTTATAAAAACTCTCACAAAAATGGAAAATGATGTTGTTTTCTCATGCAAAAACCTATGTAGGCGCGGAATGTCGATTGAAAGAAAAAATAATAGTTTTTTATAAGTTTTACGGCCATGAATTTCTCCATTTCGGTCAATCATTGGTATAAATAATAGGTAGAAATTCATAGTGATGTGAAGAAAAGTGAATGTAATGAATGAATGGTTTTTTTATTACTCGAAAACTAACAAGGTTTAGAGAATCATGCTAGAATCGATACCAATGTGTGTATAATGTCAATATATGACTTTTATTGTGGGACAGAGGAAGTTATTCTTGTCATTTTTCCAAATAATATAGAGATTGGGTCATGGCCCAGTCTTCCTATTAAATCTATAGGGAAGGCCTGTGCCATTACTAGACTGATGGTGATGGTGGTGTAATCATCTATAAAGGGTGGTCAAAAAGTCGTGGATCAAACGAAACAGGTAACTTTATTACACAAAAATTTATGATTTTTTTTTTACGGATTGGCTAGATAAGCGGAAGATGGCTGCTGCGAGGAGACCATCGGGAGTATGCAGAAATGCATTACCTCTATGGCTTTTGCGACGGCAATTCACGGGCTGCTGCCAGAGAATATCGAGAATGCTATCCTAACCGAGACCGTTTTCTGGTCTACAGGGTATTTATGCGGGTACATAATGCGTACATGGAGGGAACCTTACCTGGTGAACATGCTGCGAGAACTGGTAGACCAGCGATACGATTTGAAAATGAAAAGCAAATACTGAAACAGTTAAGATTAGACCCTGGTATTAGCCAACGCCAAATATCACGAAATCTCGGGATACCACGACTCACGGTGCAGCTTATCATTAAAATTAAATATCACGCTTACCACGTGCAAAGGGTGCAAGCTTTACTGCCCGCTGACTATGAACCTAGAGTAGGATTTTGTAGAGAGACGCTTAATCGACACAGAGTGGTCCGCAGTTTTTCAACAAAGGGTTATGGACTGATGAGTAAAATTTTAGAGGAATGAAAATTTTTAAGATCCACAATCTTAACTTTTACTCAAGAGTGAATCCACATATCATCAGAAATGATCGATTCCAGTTTTTTTTTGGCATAAACATGTGGGCTGGAATAATTCACCAGCAGCTTGTGCTACATGAAAAGCCACCAAGGCTGAATGGTGCAGTATTTGAATTTTTTACAAAATATTTTGAAACAAATGCTCAACGAAAGCAAAGCTCGATGGCGCAAGTGGTTAGCGCGTTTGGCTGCGACGTTGAAGATAAGCTACTTTCGCAGTGGTCGGTCATTAAATGGGTGACCAAAAATTTACTATCTCTAGTCTCCTCCGTGCTTCGGAAGGCACGTTAAGCCGTTGGTTCCGACTACATCTGCAGTCGTTAGCACCCACCAATCCGCACTGGCCCGCATGGATGGTCATGGCCCAATCTACGTATTCCATCCATTGGGAAGGCCTGTGCCCCATCAGTGGGGGCATTAATAGGCTGATGATGATGACTCAACTGAGATTTCTGAAGATAGAGTGGCAGAAATGTGGCTGCAACAAGACGGCGTCCCGGCTCATTACGCTCTAGCAGTTCGGGGACATTTGAACGAGAGCTTCCCTAACCGGTGGATTGGTCGAGACGGACCTATTGCATGGCCACCCCGGTCGCATGACGTTAATCCAATAAACTTTTTTGTTTGGAGCTACTTAAAAAAAATAGTGTATCAAGGAGAGAATAACACCGAACAAGAACTACGACAAAAGCTCGAGTTTTGTAGGTTAAAAATTCTTAACAACAGAGGTGCATTCCGCCGATTACGTGCAGATTGAGCATTATGGTCAGAGGTAGGAACATTGAACATTTAATGTCAAGTTGTACCTCATTTGAATCAGCATTCAATCAGCAAGTTTTTTTTATTACAGGGTCACTTGTTTGTAATACATATTTATACAATTCTGGGGCAAATACTTAATATTTATAACTTATTATTTGCAACTTTATTGTAGCAAATATAAAAGTGTTCAGATTCATATAGGCTAAGGGTTGTAGGAGGGGACGAGGGGTGGGATTATGAATGGAGTAAAAGGTTGGCCATGATTTTTATACTATAACTATGTAGGTACTAGGATAAGCAGAGCGGTGTTAAGCAGAAAACAGCCAGTGGGCATTTGTGAAGCTATCAAAAACGAGTTCTGTGAACCAATGTTAAAGTATGATTATGAGAGCTAAAAGCGACCATTGGTAATTTTTGAGATCAATAAAAATTTAACATTAGTCGTAGAACTAATTTTCGCTTGCTTCAAGAATTCCCACTGATTGCGTTTTGCTAAATAACGGTCCTCTGTAAATTGATATTTGCAAAAATATATCCCTTTAACGTTTGGTGTGTGTGGATTGAGGACCAATTTGATTACTCAGTCCAGTACGGATAAGTGAATAATGACAATATTTGCCATTCTATTATTATAACATTAACATTATAAGAAATTGAGTAAGTGGTGAGGTAGCATCAAGTTATAAGTAATGTCATAAGAAGCAGTTGGGTTAAATTTTGGTAAATCATATATTTTTAAGCATAACTGTTAGATTTACAAATCTATAGAAAATATTACTAAACCGCCCGGGTAGTAGAATCAATCAGACGGTATTCGAACCCGCACCTTCCGCTATCCGGATCCGAATGTGGAAATTTTAGGAAATAATTCGGAAAATAACTAATCCCGGACCTGAAAAATAACTAATTTGAATTTTTAATGTTTTTTGGTTATCAAAATATTATCAGTAACTACAGCCAATAAATTATTATGTTATTGTTATTACATAGGTAACCTTTATGTATTTGGGTATCTACAGAGAATTTAGTAACCATATACTAAATCGTGTTCTAGTGCTGCATACCCTTGCTGGGCTGAAAATGATTAAACTATCACAAAATCATTTCTAGATAAACATAATTTAATTTACAAAAGATCCAGTGATGAAGTCGGAACTTCAGACCAAAAAAAATAAAACATTGTGTTATAATAAAACAGTTGTCTTTATTAATCTACATAAAAAATTAAATTAACTTCTTACTAACTAATTTTTAAGTAAACGATCACACACATTTTGGGGCACATTTGTATAAATTAATTATTAAGTAGGTAGGTCAGCAGTTTTTTACTTTATTATTAACATCACAGTCTAATTTGCCCCGTCATAATTTTATTGTATTCCTCTACACCCAATGGTAAGTATTTATCTAGTTTCGGATCTAAGTAATACAGTTTATCTTTCACTACCGACGGATCGTAGCCTTCTTTCTGCAAATCCACTTTCCTCATTTTAAATGTACCTAGAAAAAAATATACAGAGCATTAGGAAACATTTTGATAATTATTTCAGATAACAGAGATGACAATTTCTCTCCTACGTTATTGCTGTCACTTTCCTTGAGATAACAAAAGAATAAGCCAAATACTAATTGGAGCGCCCGTCTGGGGAAATAATCTCCACCTTACAGAAGATCACAGTAAAATAACACTATCTTTTGGTGGTGATGTGTTTCTGTCGGTGAGTTAGGTTCCAGGGCTCCACGGGTTAGGGGATTGAGTCAGGGTAGGTAACGGTGCGAGTAATAGTTTTAGTATCGCAAATGTCCATAGGCTATGGTGGCCGATTACCATCAGGCGGGCCATTCGGTTGTTTGCCATTTAACATAAAAATAAAATAAAAAATACGATCACAATAATTTTAAATGTCTATATATCGCGTGTAGAGCTGGAAAAAGTGCTGTGGATGGGTGACTAAAAATTGGCGAGTTCTCCCTGTTCCATCTATAGGGAAGATCTTGCCCCAGCAGTCGGGACATTAATAGGCTGTTGGTATAGACCCATCTTCATCAGGAAGATGGGTCTATACTAACAATCTTCATCAGGAAGATGGGTCTATTGTATTTGGGCAGATCTTTGGCGATGTCCAATATTGCTAGTGACCATGAATGCATAAAACAAAATAAAATTCACCAGATATGTTGACGCTCTCCATCTTCCTGATGAAGATGGGTCTGGTATATTTCGCCAGGTCTTTGGCGATGTGCAGTGCAATCCCTCTTATTATTATAATGTTAGTTCTCACCTGTCGACGCTCTCTATCTTCTTGATGAAGATGGGTCTGGCGTATTTGGCCAGGTTTTTGGCGACGTGGAATCCCTCTTATTATTATAATGTCAGTTCTCACCAGTCATGTCGACGCTCTCCAAATTTTTGATGAAGATGGGTCTGGCGTATTTGGCCAGGTCTGTGGCGATGTGCAATCCCTCTTATTACTATAATGTTAGTCACCGTGAATGTCTAAAAAAATAACATATTTCATACCAGTCAGGTCGACGCTCCCCTTCTTCCTGATGGAGATGGGTCTGGCGTATTTGGGCAGGTCCTTGGCAATGTTCAATCCCTCTTTCCTATATTGTTACTGAGCAATTATTTTACTCGCCAGTTATATCGACGCTCTCCATCTTCTTGAGGAAGATGGATCTGGCGTGTGTGGGCAGGTCTTTGGCGATGTGCAAACCCTCTAACTATTATAATGTTAGTTCTCACAAGTCATGTCGATGCTCTCCATATTGCTGATGAAGATGGTTCTCGCGTATTTAAGCAGGTCTTGGGCGATGTCCAAACCCGTTAATTTTACTGTAGTGACTCAAAGCAACTTTATAACAATATAATTCTTACCAGTCATGTCGACGCTTTCCATCTTCCTGATGAAGATGGGTCTGGCGTATTTGGGCAGGTCTTTGGCGATATCCGCCGCGAGTCGATCGAGGTCAAGCGAGTCATCGAGGTCCACTATACCACACATGCCCGCGCGTCCTTCTGTATTAGGAATCTGTGGACGAGCGGGAAAATTTAGAGATATCACACTCTAAACTCGCTATTATTAATGATTATTAATATTATAAAGAGCAAACATTTTTTATGTTTGTAAAGTATTATATACTCAACAAAGACAGCCGGACAGATACCCATGCAAAGCTGGCATAAGTTGCTAGTCTATAAGTAATATATTTGAGGCACGGTGGACCGTTTGTACTGGCTGCATGCGTTACTATTCACCAATACGTACAGGCCAACCTGGTGGAATTGGCTCAATCTCCGTATTCTACCAATAAGGAAGACCTGTGCCCGGGGGCTGCTGCAATGCTGGAAGTGAGGTCATTAATCAAAAAAAACCTCGGCAACGGGTTGTACGATGAATGACCAAAACTCTACTATCTCGAACTTATCCGGACTTTGAAAGGCACATAACGCCATACTATGTCTGCAGTCAACGAATCCATTTAATCCCATGGGATCCGCTGAGGGGTATATTAACCGTAGGGCCGAAAAGGCGATAGCCACGGGCGGGCTACGAAGAGCGGCTACAATAGCTGCAAGAGGAGGCAGAAGCCATTTGCCCCAACAGTAGGGACATTAATATCTGTTTGGTATCCATTCTATTCTGCCCAAAGCTCCAACAATGGGGACAGTGGCTACTGATGTAGCTGAACGTCGACATTTGCATCCACCTAATCCACACGGGACCCGCTTGTCTGCCTGTTTCGTCCATAGGAATAAATAAATATAGTTTTCTTAATCAACAGTAGGCATACATGAGGAGCTCAATGGCGCACGTTAAGCCGCTGGTCCCGGCTGCATCTGCAGTCGTTAGCACCCGTCAATCCGCACTGGGCCCGTGTGGTGGATCATGGCCCAATCTCCCTATTCCATCCACAGGCCTTCTCAACCAATAGTAACGTTAAAACATAACATAGGCTGATCTTCATAAAGGTATGCATACCTCCACCCCGTAAACGACAGCATCCCTCTGGTCTGCGACCCTGGAGACGGCAGCTTCGACCTCCGTGGTGCTGACGTTCTCGCCGCGCCACCGGAACGTGTCACCGGTGCGGTCCCGGAAGTATAAATATCCTAATTCGTCCGCCACCAGAATGTCACCTAGGGGAAGGATTTTGATCAATGGGTCAAATTTTAGTAGGTACACCTTTTTTATTTGATACAATCTGTGCTCTATTATCTATCTCTATATATATATTTGATACAATATATGCTCTACAATCTATGCTCTATTGAAAAAATAACGAATAAAAAGGATCTTCAAATTATAAGGTTAGGCTTAAGCTTAGATAAAATCAAAAAGGGTTTTTTTTATTGAATGTAGCGGGGATTTCGGGATTTACTCGACCGACAGAAACACAACACCACCAAAAGGTTTTAATGTTGTCTTGTGTATGGTGGAGATTACTTCCCCAGACGAGCGCTGCAATTCGAGTGGAAACTCCGCTATACAACCTCATACTCAATCCACTCCGCAAGGATAACTCTCAGGAATACATAGGTATTGGGAAATATAGATTTATTAAGTAAACTAAGTAACCTAGGACTTACCTACTGTTCGACACAATCGGGAAATTTTAAAATAAAAATTACTTTAGTAAGTACCTATTGTTTTTGCAGTCATTGGAAGTAAACTGCATAATTCATCATTCAATGTTCAACGTGACTATGTATATGTATATTACAAAACGACATTTATCTACGAAATCTATTGAAAAACCAAACAAAAGTGGAAACTATAGTTTTTTCTTTATTTTAACTTGTAATAATTTTTTTCCAGACGTAATAATGCATTATGCTCGATGACAGAGCATTGAAGTGCGTCAGAATTGTTTTATAGGTAGGTTGGTATGAGTAAATATAAACTTAGTAAAATGTTTATAAGAGATTTAGAAAAAATCATTTCTGTTCATGTTTTAGGTTTGAAAAGATCCGCACTTTTCGCTATTCGGGCGAATACACTGATCACATGATATAATCAGTCAATTAATTCCTAAATTAGAATCTATTTTAATCCCTTTTCTAAAACACAATATCAAACAGCCATCTTACTTACCCGATATAAAAGCAGAGTCTCCATAATTGAAAACATCCCGCACAATCTTCTTTTCCGACGCCTCTTTGTCCACGTAGCCCAGGTAAGCTCTTGACGCTAGTTTCGGGTTTATTTTACCTATGAATACACCAGGCTCTCCAGGTTTCGCCAACTAAATTGAAAATAACCATTAATAAATTTAAAGAAAAATGAAATCAACAATTAAATTATAGCGTCGTTAAAAGTCCTTGAAGTTGATAATCAGACATTAGACGCGTTACTTATCGTGGAATATGAATTTGTTTGTGGAATAATGGTCTATTAAAATGAGATGCTTCTAATCTGAGTAAATTAAAAAGTCTTCAAAGCTAAGAAAAACTTATACGACGGTACTAATAATTTTATTGTATGAATATCAGAATATTCGAAATAGTTTTACCTGACACAATCCTTTGGAGTTTCTTATTGGTTCACCGGTATCTTGGTCCACCCTGAGTATAGCTATAGGATAAACAGCCGGAATTATTCTTGATACGAATCCAATGGCTCCCATTTTGTTGTCAACGTTCACTGTAATGTTTTAACAGAGACTTTATCACCAATATCATGAAGTTCTATTTTTAATGCTAAGTATGCGGTTGAGGATCAGTGGAGAGGTAATGAATTAGCTATTGCAGAATATTATAATTATGACCTATATACTGTATTATAGACCTGAATTGTTACTAATACTTTTAAAAAATCAATAATGGAACTACTAGTTATTTATGTTGTCACTGAGTAATTACTTACAAACCTAAAAGAACTTAAAATTATTGACGATGTTATTTAAACTACCATTTTGCAGTTTTTTTTTTCATGAAGATATCCACTGCCTCTGAAACAAAAAACTAGAAAATTCGGGCTCACCAATGTTGGCATTTCCTTCTGTGGCACCATAGAATTCTGCGACCTTTTTGATTCTAAACCTTTTCACAAACTCGGGCCAGATCTGAAAAAGTATTAAGTATTTTGATTCAGTTTCTATTAAAGTTAATATTGGACAACTGGATTGGATTTCATTGTAAATGAAATTATTACAGTGAAATCTATTGTATGAAGAGCATATAAACTAAATTAAGTTAATACGTACCAATAAATAATCCAAAAAATACAATAAATATTGAGAAACAGATTTAAAGATACAATTTATCAAATTAGTACTCACCGTTTGTCTCATTCCATTTCCGTAGACAACACGAACTTTGTGTTGCGTATCAGCTGGAGAAGAGGGAGTCGCCAATACATAACGACACATCTCACCGATGTAATGGGCCGCCTTTCAAGGGAAAACAGAGTTTTATTAAATATTTATTAGCAAAAAAGCTAAACATTTTCTATAATTCTATTGTTTTTAACAATTCACTTTAAATTAAAAATGACATTTGAACACATGGTCAACTGAGAAAACTCATAAGTCAAATCGAATGCATTTACTTAGATCAAAATTTAAGATTAACGCCTGTTACGAATGGAATTACTTACAGTGGCATTATACTTGGCGCAGTCTTTGAAATAAGCAGATGCCGAGAATTTCTTTTTGAGGACCACGGTACAGCCAAATATCATCGCTTGTCCCATTGTGATGCACCCACCAGCGGAATGATATAATGGCATAGGACAGTAAATGATATCGTTGCGATTCAATCCTCCTAAGTAGTGGACACCTGACGCCATAAACACCATTCTGAGACAAACAATCATAAAATTAGAATGAATTTAATAGTATGCAAAAAACAAAATGTTGCCAAAATTGACGATCTTTTGATGCAACGGGTGACCCTACAATATTGAACTGTGCTGCTCTCAGCTTATATTATCAGCACGTCTTGTCTGTTTTCTTGGATTGAGGATGAGGATTGAGTTACTAAATAGAGGGATCATAGTATAACACAGTACAGCCTAATAATATCATTATATATTGACGTCGAACGAGTCAATGTTGAGCTATGCTGTATTGGTATTCGTGATAGGTATTAAAATTTTCTTAAGTTGGCAGAAAAACTAGATTTGGACATCTTTTTTTTAGATATTACCATTGTCCTGTTAGGAAATGGAATAACTAAGTAGTCACGTAAGCATTCTTTTGATAGCCATCCTTTCTAGAGTATGGATTTCTGTAGAGTCTTCCTGTCGTTCAAAAAGAAAGCACAGCAGTAAAATGCAAACCGCAGCGCAGCCTGTATCGCTTGTTTCCTCATATAGTCTACGAAGATCAAGCAGACTAAATAGAGTGAAGCACTGAATAGCGCAGCATAGCTCACTTCATATTTTCAGGCTTATAGTGTCTATCCTACAGTGTATCTCATTTGATATTCTGCCAACCCTGCAAGAAATGTGTAGAGTGAAATTCTGTATGATGGACGTACCTTGATGATGAGATAACGGCCGCTTTTGGGAGTCCTGTCGTTCCAGATGTATATATGTACAGAATCTTTCCGTTGAAGCCGTCCCCTTCGGATTTAGTCCATTTGGCCGGTGGTGTGCTCTCCAGCATTGATGTGAAGTCATTAGAGGATTCCACAACTTTGACGGCGTCGTTCGACGTGTTCAGTTGTCGATGGGTGAACTTGTATAGCTTTATAGACGGGTTCAGTTCTTCAGAGATTTCTTGGAATGCTGTTGAAAACATTAAAATTTATCTAGCTGTGTACTGGTGTACTGTGATATTTGTTGTTAAATAAAAACATCATTTTCATCATGTTGAACATCATAGTAAATGTAAGCGTGTGACACGGAAATACTGAATTGGATTAAACTGAATGCTACCTCACGTATACACATCAACCGCGAGTGAGGAAATATACCTAAGTACTTTGTATTATAATTATGATACAAGATATGCGAGTAACAAATATTTATGCAATCGCAATAATGGTGTTTGAACACATAGGTACATTGTTGTTAATGTATTTGTTTGATGGTTAAATTATTGTGACACGTCAATCTGCAAGTTCAAGGCAAGTCATACAAGTTCATTAAGAAACAAACAGGTTGCCTGGCAAAGTAATAACCACCAATTTTTTGTGAGTAAATACCACTAATACGGTGCCCGCCTTTGATAAGTAATTATATTATAATAAAGGTAAAATACGTACGGTCGTATTCAGAGCCGTCTAATAAATTTAATGTCAATGTCATTGAAAGTCATGTGTTTTCTCAATCTAATATCATCGCAAAGAAACTGACGGCTTTAATTTAAACCAACTTATAAGTTAATTGTAATAGCATTAATTTAAAGAATGTAAGGTGCTTCTGGGTAAGGTTGCAAAGTTACCTAAGCTTAAAAAAAGTGTTTATTTTTAAAAATGGACGTATTTAAAATTTTTATAAAAACTCACCAGCCTCGAATTCGTCTCCATAGATGACGACGTCGCATTTGGCAATGTTGATGGAGTGCAGCAGCGTGTTGCGAGTCTGGTTGGTGTTGATGAGCGGGGCGACTGCTCCTAGCCGAGTGATGCCCAGCCAGATAGCCGGCATCTCAGGACAGTTGCCCATCATGACGCCTACTACGTCACCTTTTTTGACGCCTTTCGATCTGAGCACAGCTGAAGTACGTAGGCTGAAATCTTCCACCTAGAAATATGATGCTTTAGGTTAAGTCAGTTAAGGCACTTGAATATAAATATGCGGCCAAACAATAATTATATTATTTTAAAAAATAATATGCCATAAAAATATTCGTTGAAAGAAGATTATGCTAAGTGTGTTATGCCAAATAAATTTCGGAGCAACGAAATTCCTCCAGATAGAGGGAACCTCAATACGGTTTGCGACATTTGACGATTCATTTTATCAACGGCAGCGATTTTTGCTTCTACTCCAAGTAGGTACCATCATAAGTTTTATAGTAGAAACTTGAGCATTACAACCAAATTACATCCGTTTTTCATTAAGGGTATAAACTGTGCTTGCTTCGTATGACATAATTATTATGGCAACACATATTATTTAAAACGAGTAGGAGTTAAATTGGCTTTTAAAATGTTTAAGCACAATGAATCAGAAGTATGAAATTGAATATAGTGCACATTCAGTTTCATTTCTTTTACAGATGCAGGTGATGTTATAATCGGAATGTAGAACTTCCTGCAGATCCGTCAGCCATTATCATTTGCTTTGTTTTCTCGGTAAACAATAATGACCACATTGTTCAAACTAATTGCAATTAATCTCTGTGCTAGGTACAATTCCTAATTTGCATTTTAAAATGCAATCTGAGCAGTTGTTCAAATATAAACATATGCTGTAAATTCACTGATGTTAAATTTTTTACTGTTTTTCAAATTGACAAAATCCATCATACATTTAAATATATAAAACTCAAAGGTGACTGACTGACATAGTGATCTATCAACGCACAGCCCAAACCACTGCACGGATCGGGCTGAAATTTGGCATACAGGTAGATGTTATGACGTAGGCATCCGCTAAGAAAGGATTTTGATCAATTCTACCCCCAAGGGGATAAAATAGGGAATGAAAGTTTGTATGAAACTTTGTCAATTTTTAACCGATCGGGCTGAGACTTTGCATGCAGGTATAAGAAGAATCATAGATAAATGTCATTGTGTATATATAATACAAGCCTGAGAACAAAAACTGTAGTCTACACTTCAGCTCTACAACGAAGCGAAGCGAGGGCGGGCCGCTAGTCATATATATAACAGCAGAAAATAGTAACATTATATTATCCATTTTACATCGATTTAATTTTAGAATGAAACTAAATCTTTTATAAACCTTACGAAGCTTAATTTGCCTCGTCATCGATGATATAATGCAATGTCCTGAATTTTTATTCATGTCAGGCCGATATAAAAGAAAAAGGAAACATTTTAACAAAATTAGTTTTACTAATATACTCGTAGCTTTGTGGAACGCAAATAGATATCGGTATTACCAAAAATCAAAAATCGTGCTGTCCTAAATGCGTTTTTTTTTCAATATTTTCTTTTGTGTTTTATTCTAGACATTATTGATGATTTATTTTTAACTAGCAGCCGCCCACGACTTCGTCCGTGTTAACTTTAGTTTTTTCAGAATCCCACAGGAACCCGTCATTTTTCCGGGATAAAATGTATCATATCTCTCAATCCAGGTCATAACTTTTTCCGTGATTGAGTAACAAACATACAAACCTTCACATTTATAATGTTACATAGTAGGATTTCCAATAAATAAAGTTACCTGTTTGAAAGTCCATATTTGATCTTCGAATAAGAAGCACGCTTTGTGCGGGTGTTTCACTACCATGTCGTGGAAGATGTCGGGCATGCCATAATTCTTCTTCGTGAATTTCTTCGATAGTGACAGGATTTTGACGTAGTAATACAACGCTCTGTGAAAGAACATTATAAACATTGAAATATTATAAAAATAAAATAAGTAGGAGCTTTTAAGGGGAAAGAGTTTCTTATTCTCTAGCGCCTTATAGCGCCCACGAAATAAATATAATAACAAGCTTATCAAGAATTGGTTTTAAGAGATTAATCTGACAATGCTAAGTGGTTATAAATAAAAAAAAAGACTCTATTCCTTTACAAAACAAAATGAGGATATCTAACAATGTTGTTTCATTCAATATAAACTTACGTGAAATCTCTCGGCGCGGTCCGGCAAGCTACATAAAGCCATCTCCAATAGAAGACCAGTACGTAGACCACGACCAGTATGGCCAGGACTATCAGGCTCGTCTGCCAGTCCTGGAAGATCCAGGTGACAGCACAGGCCGCTATTAGCACGCAAAGTGCCACGACCATTGCTAATATTCTTCCCCAGGCTATTCCCGAGTCGCTGTCAGCTGTTTTTCCACGTTCCGTGTCCGCATTATGTTTCACCTGTTCCAACAATCAATGATATATTTATTATTGAAGAAACACCGAACAATTTATCGTAACGTAAAATTAGATTAGATTGTAGGTATGTTAAGTATGTAATAGGTAAAGATCGTTATCTTGGTTTGGATTGAAAATAAGGATTTATGAGCTACTTAGTTATCACTATATGTGATTATGTGGGTCCTAATTGATTTAACCTATGTTCTTTAGTTCATAAAGTACACGATTACATAATGTGTAAGTACTGAAGTACTACCTAATGTTAGAAACTATAATAACAACAAGTGCACGTGTGGAAGTGTCTCATACTCAAATACACATTGAACGTCTTACATTTTCAATCTATCAATTTAATATTCTTAGTTTATCTTATTAATTAAAAGGTAATATACCATTTAGAACAGAGGATTACTTTGCCTTATTATTAGAAAAAAATGCTGTTTTGCTTTATTTTAATTACTAATAAATCGAATTCCCATACAAAAACTTTAAGCTATATTCGTGATAAAAATAAAATTAACCTTTGTCGATATACCCCTTATCTCGAAACCAAAATTAAATAAAGTCAATGGAGCGGTTTAGGCGTGAAAGCTTGGAAGAGCTAACTCTCAAATTTATAATAATAGCATGTTTACCTATTAATTTAGGAAAGCGTACGTAGTAGGAGAACGGTGGATTTTCCAATCGTTAATGTTAAGTATCTTTATGATTGATGTGGTTGTGGTTTCGGAAGGTCTGTATTCCCAAAAAATTGCGTCACTACGTACGCAGGTAGAGTATCAGGGCAAATAAAATAAATGAACTTGTAAAACTTTTTCAACCGTGTTGATGTCTTGTCATGATCGTTTTACGTCATACAAAACCCATAGGAAATTTTATTAATTTCATAACAAACGATCCGCTCGGGTTTAGCATTGGTCCAATTAACTAATAGAGAAAATAAGAAGTTTTAAGATTGCATAAGCAATAGCTTTCCCAACTTCCGGGTTTTCTGGCGAGTATTGCCGACTATCAAATATCTTTCAAAATTATAATTGAAACCACACGAAAAAATGTAAAGACAATTTAATCGACGTCACGTCATACACGTGGCAATTGGCTTGTATATATATAAAAAAAACTTTCATTTCGCTTATGCTGTATAAGAAATTAAAAAGGATAGGTACTTAATATAAAAATATGGTCGATTTACAGGTTCACATGGTTTAAATATTTTTTTTATTAAATAAAACTGAAATTCTGTTCGATGACAAATAACGATAAATTATTACTAACTAATAAGAATTGTTATTAATAAATTAAAATTCATTTCATTTATAATGTAATACTTTCCCCAGTGTCAGTTTCCTTTGCATTTGAATAGGTAATTGTGTTCTGGGTATTTTAGTACGTAGATTACCTAAAGTAGGTACTCTAGTATCACAAGTTTCTGAATGAAGGGCAATCATGGTCGCTTATTGTTCAAACTTTAAATAAACACGTGTCTAGTGGTATTGTCTTTCGGTGAATTTAGTTAGCAGGGCTCCACAGGGTAGGTAATAGGAAGACAACGCTCGAGTAACAAGTAGGTACTCCGGTATCGCAAGTTTCTGAATGAAAGGCAATCATGGTCTCTTATTGTTCAAACGTTAAATAAACACGGGTCTAGTGGTGTTGTGTTTCGGTGAATTTAGTTCGCAGGGCTCCACAGGGTAGGGAATAGGAAGACAACGCTCGAGCAATAAGTAGGTACTCTGGTATCGCAAGTTTCTGAATGAAAGGCAATAATGGTCGCTTATTGTTCAAACGATAAATAAACACGGGTCATAGGACAACCACGTGGACACTTATAGGTTCGAAGTACGAACGGAACTCCTCCAGTTAATTGAATGAATATTTAATTACAACCGATGACTTGGTCCGTAAGTTCAAGACCGAATGAAGGTTAGTTTGCTAGCGTTATGATGGTGTCGATTCTGGCAGGATTCTCTAAACTTAAAACTAAATTTAACATCAGTCTGTCCTTTTCATTCTGTATAGAGAATGACAGAGATACACTGTTGTCCAATTTAAGTTTAGCTTTAGAGAATCATGCCAGAATTGACCCCAATGTTTACGATGATAAAGAATCTGGCATTCCCCACATAACCGTGTCACAAATCGGAGCCCCAACAAATCCTAAATTGTATGGTTCCGTAGTCAGCAAAGAACTTATTTATTTCACCATGTGAAAAATATTTGAATTGTGTGTAAAAAGGTGGCCTTCGGTCTCCATAGCCTTGCGATAACGCACACTAACACTCGCACATTGCCTGCTCTGCCTGGCAACAATATCTCCAGCCCCGTGAAGCTTTGAGAAAACAAGAACATGATACTAAAGAACAATGTTATTTGAATTCAGTCTTCTGAAAGGTTGCTTCCCCAAACGGAATCTCTAATTCCAGCGGGCAATCCGCTTTGCCTTACCTCTCTAAAAAGACATTTCTCCCACAAATTAGACTGTTAGCTTACTTAAAGGCCCATTTGCACTAATATTTTGAAATCATTTTTAACTTCTGTCAGTTTAAAATGTCACTCTTTCTTCGTCAACATATTGATATAATGAATACGACGGTTAACTAACATTTTATTAAAGAACTTCGGGAGAAGTCAGCTTTAACTATTTTACATTGTATATCAAGGTATATTTACGTTCGATTCTCTGCCAACATCGTAAGAGATGAATTAAACAAAGATACAATGTAACTAAACACACCCGCCGCTGCCTTATTATGTACTTTGTAGTTTTTTGTTACTTTATGTGTTGCAAGGTTAGATAAATTATAAAATAAGATGTTATCGGTCCTCAACTTTAAACGAAATAATCGCTTAACCAAAATCTTTAAAATCCCAGGTATCTTCACACTTCTACGATCATGTGTTCTCAATTGTGGACTTAAATATTTGGACCATCCATAGCCTCAATAATCTCGCTAATTGTATGTTTTGCTTTTACGCAGTTTTCATGTGATAATTGACACTATTTTGCTTACCTAAACAATTATGAGCATTGCATAAATATTTGAGAATGATTTATCACATTTTCGTATGTCAATTGAATGTTACATCCAAATCGTTGCATTTGTTTTCGCCTGTTTACAGACTGCAAATTTAACTCAGTCATGCTAATCGGAGGTATTTTTAACGAGTTCGAATAAGCTAAGAGCAAATGTTTGTTTGTCCTGAATCTTCTTTGTTTAATTTAAACTTTTTAATGGCAATTTTAACTAATGAGTGTTTTATTTTATTAAAGCGGTCGAGTAAACTCCTCATCTTAAAGCATTCACGCGCGCTTCACTAACACAGCGCCAAAACTTTTCATGAATTTTAATTTCTTAGATCGCCCCATGGTTTCAGAATCTTTTACTGAGGATTTTAAACTTAGAACAGTTGCATAAAAACTATTATTTCATGATGTTATGGTCATTAACTGTATATCTTTATTCATTTTTCGAATTTACTGTTTTATTTAAATTCTCAGCTGTGATATTAGGTAACGGCATAGATGACTATTAAGATCAATGGTACCAAATTGTCGATAAATAAGTAAATATTAAATGTAAAGTTATTAGCTTAGTTAAAGTATATTAGCTATTGTATTTTTTGCGATATTTAAAAAAAAGTTATGTCTCCAGGTTCACTGATCACCCATACTCATATAAATAAATAAAATTCAAAAGAAACTTTTTCAGTTTTCTTCTTTTTTGAACTTTTCAGCTTTCACACCAAAACGACAAAAACTTGGATTTATTTTAGTACCTATATCATATCAAGAAAAATAGGGGTACTTTTTGCCACCAAATTAAAACAACTAGCTTAAATATATATAAACTATTTACTTTGATATTACGCAAACGAATATAAACGTAATTCGATTGTAACGTATTATGATAATAATATTCTGTTTAATTTGCCTATAATTTTGTTAATATTGTTTGAGCTTTTAGCTAATTTTTACTAAGGCCAAAGTTCTACCGCTCTGCTACTGGATTGCCAGTTCGAACATTGACAACAAATTATTTTTAGTGATTCAAAGTAAAATAAGAATCCTTAGATAACGGTCATTCATATTTCAATTTAAATTCAAACATATTTTAAAAGTTAAACTTTGAGGTTCTTTTTTCTTAAAATTTTCTGTTAAAAGACTTCAACGAGATACTACAAACACTCACTTACCCCGTTGGTGCCGTTATGTGTACCAGCCATTTCTAAAGTATTTCTTGACAATCCCGAAGTTTTGTAAAAGTCCCAGAAAATGAGATCACCTTTAACTTTATTTTTTAATTATTTGAGTGATTTTGTAACATTTTTACTGCCCTTTTTGTACACCTGAAACAATAGAAAAAATCGTTATTATAACCTACCATATCTTCATGGTTACATTTGGAAATAGGCATACTATACATATCAAAAGTGGTTTTTGTGGCAATAATAATTTCATCATTTCAGAATCAAATTAGTTTTTTTACTGTAATTCCTATGTATTAGTTAATAAGGTACCCCACATTTTATAAAAATAAACAACATTAATTTGCAGAAACTATTTGTAAGTTGTGAGAAGCTAACCCAAGTTAAAAGCACTAATTAAGTACGCACTTCTTCATGCTGAGTCCGTTGAAAAAAACAAAAAATTTAAATATTTTATTGCTAGACTTTGTCAGTGGCTGCTTCCGTATAGAATTTAGAATTTAAAATACCGAGAGTTTTAATTTCGTCGATTTTTTTGTTAATAGTGAGACAATGATAAGAGGTGATGGTATGGTATGAGGGTAAGCGGCCACCATAGCCTCTGTAGGCTTGCGTATCGAATGGCGCGATTACAATTGGTCGTTAAACCGAATACGTGCTTATGGAATTCGGACAAACGACTAAGTGTCAATGAACGAAGTCGAATACGCTCGTATTCATTTCGTTCCAACTAGAACGCGGGCGTAGGGCTGTTGATCCGTGTTCCAGAACCCGAAAACAATGAAATTGTTGCTTCGGGTGCTCGAATTCGAGTAATCTTTCATGCACCCGAATACGGGCTAACGACCAAATTTAATGGCGCCATTAAAATTGAGTTACAGGAATATTACGCCTGGAAATCTTATTTACCGACAGAAAAACAAAACCATCAAAGTAACTGTTATTTCACTGCAGTCTTGTGTGAGGCGGTTGTTATTTCTCCAGAAATTTGAGCTAAAAATTCGCACTTGGAAACGTTAATTAAATTTTATAGTTGTAAAAATTTTTCGCACAAAAAAGTGATACAACCACTTTAAGTAAAGTCGCAAAACAAATTTTAATATTTATGGGTGCCGCCACGGCCTTGAACTATTGTTTATGAAAAACCAACGAATCGCGAAAAGTTAAGTTATTGTATTCGGTCATTTTGGTGAAGAGTCCGTCGTACCCAACTCAAAATTTGCACTTTTTAAATGTTAAATAATGCCTATTATTGCTTATTTATTATAATGTATAATAGGAAATCTATAGATCGAAGGCTATTCAAATATATGTTATCAGGTAAAGTTCTAAGAAGGCTATTTAATATTATTTTTAGAGACCAACCATATGGCACATCAATGAACCAATTAGGGTCATAATATGGCGCAGCCAAATACTATTCTTATAATGTTTATCGATAGAGCAACACGGCCGAACGTGGTCTACTCTCTGTTTTTACCATAGCATAGCATAATATTGTTTTCAAAAAATTGTGTTTCATGGATCAACCAAACAGTTTGAACAGGTTGAGGTACATAGCTATAAGGTTATTAAAGTTTTGCAAAAACGGGGAAAAATATTGCCGCGTGAAACCGCAGGGCACCTCTAGTTATGATATATTATGATTAAGCGGACATCAAAGAGCCATGGTAGAAATCCGTGTCAAAGCCTTTAGAAACTTGCTATATAATTACTAGTGCTTTCTCGAAGTGGTGTCTGCTGCCTGTATCACGTCACGCACCAAAAGACAATTTCGAGTTATTGGAAAAGTTAGCCTTCCCAAAATTATGCTAAGTGATCTGAATATGTTTTTGTTTTTTGATTTAAATCTTGATCTAGGCTCTTAAATCCATTGTTAAACTATGATCGTTTTATCGTTGTAAGGCATCATTAAAACATAAAATGTTTATTGTGTTTTAACTAATTATTGTATGTATTACTTATATATGAAGTTGTTAAAAGTTAAAGTTCACCATATTCGGTCGTAAATGTACCAATTGGATTTAAAAATATGAGTAAATTGTCTAAAAATATGTATTTTTTATTATATTTGTATTTTAACAAGGAACTACAAAATATGCAGTATTTTTTTGACACAACGAACTCAGAAGGGCAAGGTCAAAATAAAAGAACGCACGCAAAACACGTATTAACGCAGAATCGAAAGTAAGTGTCAATGACCTTTTCGACAGCAGAACCACAGAGCTGTCATGATTTATACCTACTTAGTGGCTATAGAAAGAGCGCAGGTAAAGATAATTTAAATCTTTACTCGATTCAAAACTTCGACACTTTTTCTCGTGATCAGAATATGGTGTAAAGTACCTATATAGCTCTTCTTACACTTTAAAATTCATCTCAGTTTGTCTTCGTCAATATTTGTTCACTTTACTAGACGACTTCCCGATTCCATACTTAGAACCTTATTAGACCACAAATATTAAAGTGCCAAGAAAATCGTGAAAACCGTTGTAGTACAGTTAATATTGATTTTTAGTCGGAAATAATGTTTGGTTTGGTTTAATATTATTTGACAAATTGCGTTGACACAAACGTCAAAATTGTGCGTTTCACACACATTATTTTACTAATTCAAATAGAAGAATTGCTAAAGTGTCCTTCAACGCGCTATTTTATATGCAGGTATATATGTTCTGTACATAACCATGGTACTTATCTCAACCTCATGATATGATATTATTATTGATAATACCTTTTACCATACCATTTGCATATGTATTTGTATACATGGAAAAAACTAGCACATAATTGTCAATAACAATAACGCACAAGCCACAGGGACGTTAATTAAGGTTATATTACATTTTATGCTGTCATTTTATTTGTGATAGCAAAAGATAAAACCCAAGATTGACAAGCATTAAATTAATCGATATCTCTTAGTACAGCCGTGAATTCTTTGAGTTTCTTCATTAACATAAGCACATAATTTGATCACATTTGTTTCCATTACAAGTGCCGAATGGAATCTATGATTAGGATATTAACAAACGTTAATTTGCATAGGTAAAGAGTAAAATGACACACAAATACTCAAATGGTATCCGTTTTGTTATCTGCATAAATCTGTAAATACTTCACTATCAAATGTTATATCACATTGGACGGACATTATGAAATATCACAATAACAAAGGTCCCTAGTCTCAACTAATCAATTCGATACAAGTTCAATTAGTACATTATTAGAAAAATTGAATAATAATACACTAGTATCTAGTGTAATTTTTAGGGTTTTGGACTAAACGGTGACAATGGAACCATGTTTCTAAGCCTCGTTTGCCTGTTGCTTCTCCTGAACCGTTTACAGTTGCTTTTACAGAATGTATCGCCACTATTACAACAAATAATAAAAATCAAATCAAGTTAGGTATAAATCAAAGGGGGCGGCACCTACCACCTAGTTGTCGTGGGAGGCGGGGAAAAACACTCAGGTACGTACCTGTACCTGGTATAGCGTGTCGTGTGTAGACCAGGTCTTCCCACTCTTATCCTACGGGTGCGGTGTCTGCTTAATGCTAAGCTAGTGTAATAGCTAGCTGTGTAGTGTTGGTGTATGTGGCCTGTGTGGGAGGAATCGCGAGGAGCGTTGGCGCGGGTGATTTCGTCGTCGGGGTACTCTAAGACGTGCCTAGGCCGACGGAGTCGGAGGGACCTACGATTGGAGGACGGGAGGGCGGACGTGTGATAACTAATGGCTTTCACCGCTAAGGGGTTCGAATGATGCGCAGCTTTATCGAAGTAACGTCTCGAGGCGTCCTTCATATACTTCGCGATGGAGTCTAACTTGAGATCGCGATGGAGTCTAACTTGAGATCGCGATGCAAATGGATATGGTCCACGGGTAACCCGTGACACCGCGCAACACATGATTTTGCAGCGTTTGTAATGGTTGAAGACTCGACGGAGGTACGTGGGCGAAGCAAACACTCGTGTACACACATCACAATAAGGTTGAGATCACTTGAAAAAGCTGATCTATTTTCAAAATTTAACTTAATCAAGAGAAAATGTTTACGTTATATTTTTTTTTATTTTAAAATATACGTTTTGAACTTAAAAAATAAAACTATTTTTTTTATGTTCTAATTCTAAAATTAAAACTAATTTTATTTTTTAGTATAAAAATTTAATAATTCAATCCTAAGGCGATTGTAATAGAACTTTGATAGAAATAAAAATATAGTTTAACCAAACTTAAAAACCTTTTATTAATAAATTGTTGTTTATCTAATACAAAATAACTTCTCCTCTAGGATCAAGTTATGCAGCATTTCTTGTGGTAGTGGGGTGGTATTATACCCCAAAAGGACACTGATTTCCCGCTTTTCTGAACCGTTCCAGTGGGCGTTCTTTGCCTTTCAGAGTCTCTAGGTCTTCTCCAAACACGTCGGTTATCTGGATGAGTACTGATTCGCGATTCGTCAACGAAGAGGCAGTTTTACCAAATGTTTTCCTCTCCGTCTTCTTCGTTTTGCCGGAGCCTAGCCCACTGTAATCTCCGTCGCTGACGTTCCCGTGAATTCAAAGGTGCTCGCCAAGACCTCCGTGCTCGTAATCCAGCCTTGTGTAAGCAATTCCGAATGGTCTGAGTGCTAACTTCAAGTCCGGAGGCGGCCCGTATTTTAATTTAGTGACGTTTATTGTTGGGTCGCGGGATACCAGCAACCTGATGTAGCGCTTCTGAGCAGCTGTCAAAACATCATCAGCTACATTACCCATGCCGTGGTACCTCTGCAACGTGGTTACTACACAGGATTGGGATATGGCAACTCTGTGTGCTATTTCCTTCAAAGTTACAATTCTGGCTCGTAAAACATCTGATAATCCTCGTGGCATTTTTTAAATCACAACTTTCAGTGAAAAATATTTTAAATTCTATAATATTTACTAAGTCAGATTTCTGAATGAGTGTCAGCTTGGATTGCCAGCATGTCTTTTCATATGGAAAAACAATTGATTTCTTTTATTGTTTTA